GTTCAAGGTATCTTTTTTTATCCCTGAGGGGCAATTGGGTTGCAGCAGCAAAAAGGTACAAATATGCACAAGGAAAAAAAGATGTACAGCAGAATTAGTGATTTGTTTAAATGCTGCAGCATGTTGCCATTAAAAGTGCCATTCAATTCTTCAATTCAAACTACAGTTTGATGAATTGTCAAGTCAAACCTGTCATATGTTTTTTAGCTCTATGGCAGTGGCCTCAAACCTGTAGCTACCAGTAGCTCAACAACCCCTTGAAAAAATACATCTGCTGGCAATAGCAGATGTATTTTGAACTTCATAACCCACAAGCTTTATATCATTTTAAAGCTTATTTATATGTAAGTGTAAACAATATCAGACTTTGCATTAAAAAGATATAACACATAATATGGGCACAAAATAAATCACGTCTGTATAAGTTTCTTACATTTCGTCTTCTGCTGCTCCAACAAATTAGACTTTCCCCATCCTTGCTTAGTTTCTTACTCTCCGTTAATGTATATGGAAAAAGAATATCCACTAGTATTTTCCAAAGTATAAAAAAGTACAAAAAAGACAAACCGCATCCATTTGAGCAGAGTCCGTTTGGGTTTGTTATTAGCTACACGGCTAGCGCAATGAGCTATTGCTGAATGATTGACATGTAGAGCTTTCTATTGATGGGTGGGACTTACAGGAACTGCTTTTAATTTTCACAGCAAAAGCGTGCGTAAAGACGCTGTTTCATTGCTGCGCATATTTTTTTTTGCATTTGCACTACTAAATAATTAATTTTGAATTGTTTTAAACAAAAAATCACACATATTAGTAACTTATAAGTACCAAAACTAAAACATATGGTTTTTATGATTATGAAACGTCAGTAAAGCAAAAATTGTCCCAAATTGGTTCCGAATGGCACTACTTGATGAAAAAGGGAAACTGCATAAAAACTATAAAACTTAGGAAAGTGTTGTCAACAACACAATGACCATAGGGTTTGAATATTGTCTTCTTCCAATGAGGCATGCCTTTTTTATACCTTGAATTTTTTAGGTGAGGCTAAAAAAACTGTTTTTTTCCCCCAAACTTCAAAGGATGCAGAGTGAAATAGGAATGACATACATTATTTCAGTGTATATTTACATAAACTAGAAGGCTCTAGCTTTAATATGATGCATCACACAATGTGATGCATGTGAGATGTAAGATGTGTTTTTAAATAAGCAAAGACATTTGGGTTTGCCCAACTTTTGTGCACGAGCAAAAATTATGCAGGAGTTTAAGAGGTTGGTTAAGTAGCTCCTCAAAGTATTTCAACATTTTTAAGAATCCTTGAATATTTCATATTTCATGTTTACTATAGCTACACCTGTTATACATCTTTAATTGGCAAGGAAAGGGAATACAGTTTATACAGAAAGCAACTCAAGGTACTTAACAAAGCCAGATCAAACTAAATAAAAACCCAAATAATCGATGGTTTCAATAAAACCTATTCCATTCTACAGAATTGACTCAATTTCTTGTGGACTGTTTAAAGGAGAAGCTCTCTGCCTGTATGGGAAAAAGGTTGGAGAGAGACGACTGCTCTAAGGTCTATGTCCCCAGATCACCTCTGAACCTGCTGTGTATGTGTGTGTTTGTGTGTGCAGGTTCATTGATGCAGTGGGGACCAGGCTTAGGGCCTAATCCAGCAGTGCTCCACACACAAACACAAGCAGCTCTGGTTTTAGCAGCGTAATAATACATTTAGCACTTCATTTAGGGATAAGTGCTGCGGAAATGAACAACAAATTAATGTCTATAAATGTTTGTTTCTGAGCCGCAGCATGAGATGTGTGTTGAGGAAAACGCATATAGGGTTAGTTTTAATTATGAGACGTAAAACGGCTTTTTCACAATTTGTTGATGGTGGAATGTTTTGGTTACAATGTAATTCTGTGATTTATTTTTTTCCCCCATTTCTGAAGTGAGTTTCTGTATGACTCTGATCCTACAAGAATCTTTATTGGTCCCCGAAAATATTTATCTTTATCGCAATAACTTGCAGCATATATTTGTTTCTTTTTGTTTATGTTGTTTTTAAGCCTTACCTTGACCCGTGACCCTAACCCTCTGGGATTACAGATGGATATTAGCCTTTGGCTATAATCTGGCATGTTTACATTCATGTTTCTAATGTGTCTGTTCATGAACAGACAGTGACAGAGACAGTGCATGTCAATGGACATGCACTGTCTCATTCAAATAAATACAAATGAATGGTAACGGTCTATGGCATGTTATACTTAATTATAAAGTCGATTGAAAACCCCCATATGATTGTATCTGTTTGAGAAGTTATAGTTAGTATTTTGTTTCTCATTTTACCCAAAGGGAAATTCAACGGTGCAAAGTATAAACCAGAAAACGTACATCTATCCTGTACACTTCTTTCTGAAACTGAAGAAACCCCCAAACTCGCTCCAAACATATTTTTACATTTCCCCTTTGGCTCTAAAACCATCGAACTCAATTATTTATTTTGTCTTTCATTCGTTCAATTACAATAGTTCCTATTGTAACCTCTCGCCAAAAACTACTGCAGCTTTCAAGATTTAGAGATCGGATTATCACAGTGAGAATCTGCGACAGCCGTGGATCAATACACAATACAGAAATTAAAGCTGTGGTGTGCGTGATTTCCAGACCATGATATAACTCTGTAATTAAACCTATGCCTCTAGTTCATTGATCTTTAACAGTTGCTTCTATCATTAGTTTTCATGTAAATTAGGCTTTTGTCACATCTTTAGATCGGCTTTTTGAGGCAGACAAGTAAAAAGAGAGGACCACCCTGACTATCGGCTCTCAGCCCAAAGAGGCAAATAGTGATGTACAGGTCTCTTTCATAGTTGTGGTCTGATTAGTTCACATGGACCTGCCCTGTACACCTGCTGTAGTTCACTGTGTGTCCATTTGGGTCAGGGCGGCGCTGTCTCCCACTGGGGTGAGACAGATTTGTTGTGGATAGGTTTTCTTACCGTGCTGCTCTCTATCGCCCCCCATCCTCCGCGGGACAAACTTATACTAAAAGCTTCTAAAAGCAAGGTTCCCCCAATGCACAGGTAAATATCAATATTAAAGCAAGCTATATAGTAAAAAAAATCTCTGCCTTGAGTCCACGTCTCATCATTCTTGCCACGCAGTTTCTACCAAACAGTAAAACCGGGGAATGTGTAGTGGCGATGGTCAATACACAAACATTAATTATTCACTATTCAGACTTTTGTATTAGACTGTCCCATTTAAAGGTATGGGACAGGCGTATGTGTAGTGCGTCCCCTTTAGGCTATTGAACAGGCATTTGGAAATCAATGCAAGGTTCCCAAACAGCAGGTAAACCTAACATGTATGTGCTTCAACCTGTGTGTGTGTGTGTGTGTGTGACAGCTCTGATCTCGCAGATAGGGAGACACCTGATTCCAGAGTCTCGCCTGTTCCCAGCGGTCACCTGATCAGCGTGCGAACTGACTCCTCTCTTATTTACAATCGAATGACCTGCCCATAGACACACACATACACACCAGACACACACACATATACACTTACACACACACACACGCACACACACACACACACTTACACCGATACATCTATAAACAAACAAACACAAACACACACACGCACAGGTACTTATGTGACCTACAATATGTCACTGGTCTGAATACTGGGTCAGTGTTCTATCCCTAAAGCTAAACCCGCTTAAAGCTTGGGTACCTAACTTTTCTGTGTCATTACTTGATACTTGTTGTTTGTCCAACAGATCACTATTTGATGTGTTGGGTTGATTGGCTGAGAGTGAGAGTGAGAGTGAGGGTGAGAGAAAGTGAGGGTGAGAGTGAGGGTGAGAGAAAGACTGAGAGTTGGTGTGAGAGTGAGGGTGAGAGAGAGGGTGAGAGTGAGTGAGGGTGAGAGTGAGAGTTGTATTGTTTCAGTTTTATCACATTTTCACAGCTTTAGTCTGAGCTCTCCGAGTACAGATTGTAGTTGGTCTTGAACTAGCCCAACTACACTGTGTACTCTGAGAGCTCATACCGCACCAACGATTGTCCCAAAAGTGTGAATGTGTCTTCCTACACATCCCATCTGCAAACAGAAGTTCAGCTCAAACTGACCACTGTTATACGAGGACCCTGGACTCACGACCCTAGACCTCACTCTTGACCTTACCCTAGCCCTAGACCTCACCCAAGACCTCACCCTAGACATTACCCAAGACCTCACCCTAGACATCACTCTAGACCTCACCCTAGACCTCACCTTAGCTCTAGACCTCTGAAGCATAGATCTGTGGTGAACACTTGGTGATATGAGATCATTCATCCTGCACAAATTCAGATCATATTACAGACACACACAGAGACACAAACACACACACAAAAACACACACAGACAATCACACACACACATACACACACCAAGTTGAGCATCATTCCCATTTTTCCTTGTCAAAAGTTAGAACTTAAGAGTTTCTGAGATTGTATGAATGCAGCGTCAGTCCTGTACAAGTGTGAGGTCATTGTACCACTATGACATCACTATGACATCACACACTGTCTTTACGATGACATGTCTGTGTTTGTAACTCTATGGTGGAAGTTAACGGGAGCTCTGACGGCAGACGCTGACCCTTCTGGTGGCAGAAAAGGGAGTTACAGGCAGAAATCATTTATACCCTTCCTACTAAGAACTAATATCTCATATTCTAAAACGTGACATCACAAGATGGATAGTCTGATAATAATCTAGCAAAACAAATGTTAATAACAGAATCATATTTCTTCTTCGGGTGACGGCCACTCCTGCTCAGAGGTGGTTGTTGCAGTGTTGCCGCGGCGACACGCCCGCGCTGCCCTATATTTGTGCTGTTTGGAAAGTTCCAGCTGATGAGCAAACAGTGTGAAATATGACCCGTTACCATGGAGATCTGTGCATGTTTTGCCGCTGGAGTCCAAACACGGCGACGTCGGTCAACAATGACTGAGCGGAGTCCAGGGCATCGTGGTGAAAAGGTCCCAATGTGAAAGTATAGCAGCAGGTGAGTCTGGCTCCAGGTCAGGTCTGTGGAGAGCCAGAGGAGAGGCCGGTCTGTGGAGAGACAGGTCTGTGGAGAGACAGGTTTGTGGAGAGACAGGTCTGTGGAGAGACAGGTCTGTGGAGAGGCAGGTCTGTGGACAGGCAGGTCTGTGGAGAGACAGGTCTGTGGAGAGGCAGGTCTGTGGAGAGGCAGGTCTGTGGAGAGACAGGTCTGTGGAGAGGCAGAGGAGAGGCCGGTCTGTGGAGAGACAGGTCTGTGGAGAGACAGGTCTGTGGAGAGACAGGTCTGTGAAGAGGCAGGTCTGTGGAGAGGCAAGTCTGTGGAGAGACAGGTCTGTGGAGAGACAGGTCTGTGGAGAGGCAGGTCTGTGGAGAGACAGGTCTGTGGAGAGACAGGTCTGTGGAGAGACAGGTCTGTGGAGAGACAGGTCTGTGAAGAGGCAGGTCTGTGGAGAGACAGGTCTGTGGAGAGGGAGGTCTGTGGAGAGGCAGGTCTGTGGAGAGACAGGTCTGTGGAGAGGCAGGTCTGTGGAGAGACAGGTCTGTGAAGAGGCAGGTCTGTGGAGAGGGAGGTCTGTGGAGAGGCAGGTCTGTGGAGAGACAGGTCTGTGGAGAGACAGGTCTGTGGAGAGGCAGGTCTGTGGAGAGGCAGGTCTGTGGAGAGACAGGTCTGTGGAGAGGCGACTCGCGTCACGGTTATTGGTTTCCTCAAAACATTTCAGCATTTCCATGTTTCGCTTGTGGCACTAAACAGCAACAGCCTTTAGAGCAAGAACCAGATTAACATTATCATTAAGAGATCCTTTATTTGTCCTACAGTGGGGAAATGCCAGTGTTGCATCACAAGTTACAGTTGGAATGAGTAGCACACAGCACAAGATAAATGAACAATAACTATAAAATAAAATAAAGTAAAATAAAATAAAATAACATCTCTAACTTTAGCATAATAAAGAAAACTGGATCCAACTAACTTATGTTCAAATCGCCTTCTTCCACAGTGAAGGAACATCGTGAAGTTTTTACTCCCATCTTGGGTTGAGATCATATATTGTAGTCAACTTTCTAGCACCAGCACTACGGAAGCCGTCTTTGACAGTGGTCCCCAACTACCGGTCATTCGAACCGGGCCGTCACGTAAAGAATCCTTTAGTTTGATAAATGACCGGATCTCTTCTTCTGTCTAGGTCACCGGACAACGTCTTGGTCTTACGTCTTAGTAGCGCTAAAATGTAAACAAATGTACGCACGTGCTCTGAGGCTGAAGTCTGCGTTCTGAAGTGGCACAGAGCTGCACAGAGGCTGAAGTTTTACAAACGCAGTGTGAACAGAAGAGACAAAGGAATCTTCTCTTGGAACGTCTGTGGCGGTGATCTGAGAAGCAGGACATATACACAGCCGCTGCAGAACTGTGGCTACAATCTCAGGTTATTATCAGCTTTCACTACGGCGCCACATCCACATCACTAGGTAAGAAAACAGAACATTCAAACTCGTGCTGTTGATAAAAGTATTCTAGCGATTGTTTTGTGGGGACTCTGTGTGTTTTGCAAATTTGAGGCTTGTCCCTGAATAAGTTTAGTTTTTTAGTTTTTGTTTAGTTAGTGCGCCCGGAGCGGTCAGAGCATCCTGAGACCTGTGTTGCAGATTCTGCCTTGTGTCAGTGTGAAGAAAGTATTGTTCACGTGTGCACAGGCTGTAAGCAATATGCCTCCTGTTGTTTTAACTCTGCCTTTCAGCTGAGTTCTTGTTCCTTATCAACCAATGTATTTCAAGATGGCACATTGACACGGAGAGTCCTCAGCTCTCGTGTACATTTATAAGTCAAATTCTGAGTCTATGACAAAGATTAAGAATAATGGTGGGGGTGATTATTCTTAGAAAGGTCACATTTGTTTTTGGTTAATATGTTTTTGTTTTTATTTGAAGCAACTGGGAACACTACAGAGAGAACCTTTAAAGCTCACACTGTGGTGATGTTACACTATGTTGATGTCAGACTCTTGTCAGCCATCTCCTCATGGCCGCTCTATGCTCTGATCAAAGTTTAGGACATGGCTGAAGATCCTGATATGAGCTTGGATGGAGCAAAAAACAACACCAGGTCTGTAGAAAGTGTCGCATGGATGAAAGTAAACATTTGTAAAACCTGTTTCAGTCGTTTAAGCTGCGACAGAGTGTTTTTGGTGAGAGCGGTGCATCTGCGTGTCTGTTACTGTCACTGTCATTATCATGGCTCCATCGGGCCCTGGGGGGACAACGCACTCAAAGGGGCCACTCTTCCCCCAACAAGAGCCTCTGTCAGGGGCCCGGCCCCCGGCTCAGCTCAGAAAGGGCCCTCAGTGACTGATGCAATCAATCGAAATCCACACTACACACACGGAGACGCAGTAGGAACAAGAGAGAGACTCAACTCCAAGTGCTGTTATCGCCATGGTAACACAAAGGTCTGTTATCGCCACGGTAACACGGAGGAGAGGTGACCGTCTGTTATCGCCGCAATAAATGGAGGAGATGCGACCGGTCTGTTTTGGCCATGGTAACACGGTCAAGAGGAACCGGTCTGTTATTGTCACGGTAACACGGAGGAGAGGTGAGCGTCTGTTATTGCCACGGTAACACGGAGGTCTGTTGTCCAACTCTGACCTGGCAAAGACCAGGAAAAGCACAAGTGCACTACGCCAATAAACACAGAAACGCAAAAGTGGTGTTCTGTTCTCAATTATGATTCTTTGAGTGAAACACTTTAGAAAGTTGCGCTAACCCGCTCCCGTGGATCCAGGACTGAGGCTGTAGATCCAGGACTGAGGCTGTAGATCCAGGACTGAGGCTGTAGATCCAGGACTGAGGCTGTAGATCCAGGACTGAGGCTGTAGATCCAGGACTGAGGCTTTAGACCCAGGACTGAGGCTGTAGATCCAGGACTGAGGCTGTAGATCCAGGACTGAGGCTGTAGATCCAGGACTGAGGCTTTAGACCCAGGACTGAGGCTGTAGATCCAGGACTGAGGCTTTAGACCCAGGACTGAGGCTGTAGATCCAGGACTGAGGCTGTAGATCCAGGACTGAGGCTGTAGATCCAGGACTGAGGCTTTAGACCCAGGACTGAGGCTGTAAACCCAGGACTGAGGCTGTAGATCCAGGACTGAGGCTTTAGATCCAGGACTGAGGCTGTAGACCCAGGACTGAGGCTGTAGATCAGACGTGTTTTTAGTTGAATTAGCATAATACTAACAGAGCAGCACGGGGCATTGGCAGCACATTTATCTTGCTGAAAAGCCAGTGTTGTCTGTTCAGATGTGTCGTGGCTCCAGGCCGTAGACATCACACTCACTAATGATCAGACCCCAGGGACTTGAACCCACACCCACAGCTGATCACAGTGTGCTGCCAAACACACATGTTCATTAAAGCACACATGTTATTGATGTCCTCAGACACTTGTGGATCTTTGTGTGAATCCCAAACTGACCTTTTCTGTCAGGTTTCAAATGGAAAAAAAAGACCCACAAAATGCACAATAAGTGATTTAACCTCAGGACTCGCAGGGCAGACATTTTGACTGCCCCTATTCAAGTCAATGGAAATCTGAAAATATCTTTAACCATCCTCTCTGACTCCCGTCGCTGGTCTCTCTCTGGTTCCATAAATACTTTTCTCTTGTTTCTTGAAGGAAACACAAAGCTCTTCACTTGTTCAGACACAAACGTCACACGTCGACGTGAAGCAAGTGTTTGAACAGTGTCCCCTGAGGGTTAGAAAGGCACGCGGGAACAGGACACAAAACATACACACGCACACACACACACACACACACACACACACACGCACACACGAATTCCCCTACATTGCCTTACATTGCAGAAACACTGGGCCTGACTGGATCTATGTGAGAGTCCAGCCATGTCTGTTACACCGGGGAGAGAGGATGGAGGGAGAGAGAGAGAGGACACATGGAGAGAGGAAGGAGAAAGGGAAAGATGAGGGAGAAAGGTAGGGAAGAGGAAAGATTGAGGAGGGAGAGGAGAAGAGAGTGGTTTCTCAGTGAGTGATGGCCATTAATTTTTGTGAAATTCTAACCTGTCATTATAAACATGTATTTCTGAATGTATTTCTAAAGGTATTACTGAATGTATTTCGAGGACAGTGGTTCACTACCCGACGGTGATCTACAACTTTTGTTTCGATCTTTAAACCTCTGAACAGCAACGTATTTGTGGAGATTCTACAGGAAAGACACTGGACACAGTTGATTCAGCAGCGGTTTATGTTTATGTGAACAGTAGAGAGACACAAACAGATGCAGCAAACACAGGGGACTCTATTATGTGATTAGGCCAGAGTCAGAGTTCATGGAATTAATACTTTGACTCCATCAGGTTTAGTTGATAGACATGAATCATGATTATGGTAAAAATGGTTCTCCTGGTCTGGTGCAGTAGGTTCTGGTCAGCTCTGGTTCTCCTGGTCTTGACAGAGACACTAAAATCCTCTTTTGTTAAAGCTATAATTCCCTGTTTTAGTGAAGACCATGGGAAAATCTCCTTACAGTACATGTGGATTTAGGCTGCAGTACCGCGGGTGGCCTCTAGTCCATATGGAGACAGGTTCAAGCAGCAGCAGAACCCTCCAGGTAACATAAGACATTCCCGGTTAAAACACCTCCTCATTCAATCCTGACGTGTCCATCCGCTGTCTCTGAAGTGTGACATCACAACATGAACCTGAGGCTTTTATCCAGGTGAGTTCTGTCCTGGTGGGACTCCTGGTGCTGATGTGAATGAGGCTGTTGTCTCTGAGGATCTGAAAGAGAGAAGAGGAAGCAGATTAGAGCAAGATCTGAAAAGAAAACATTTAAGGATAAACAAAACACTTTAAAGAAATTAAACCATGGTGTCAAACAAGTGCTTCAAATGTGACACTTTAAGGTTTCTAAATCATTGTTTATTTGTGAGATGTTTCTGCAGTGATAAGGCCTCGCCTGTGCAGTCGTGGTCCTCAACAATCTCGCACTGATCCATGTTCTACATCAGGAGCCACATGTGAAAGTATTCTCTGATATAAAGCCACAACACAAAAGTCTTTCCATGGCTTCGCACCAAAGTACATCTGTGACATGTTAGTGCCATATGAACCAACTCTGAGGAGCACAGGGACTGGACTCCTGCTGGGACTCTGAGCAGCACAGGGACTGGCCTCCTGCTGGGACTCTGAGGAGCACAGGGACTGACCCCTGGTGTTCCCAGTTGTCTCCCATCACATGACTAACCAGACCCTGCCCTGCACAGCTTCAGAGGTGTCTTTCATTTGCACATTTCCCTGGTCTATACAGCGGCGTCTCTCTTCTTCTCTGGGACCTGCTTTCTCACACATCTTAGCTCGCAGTCTCCCCTTGTGGCCGAGAACTGAATTACAACAAAGATTGTCTCTGATGCGTTCAAGGCCTCAGTTTGTCCTTCAGATAAAAGTGGAAAATCACATTCTCACTGGTGAAAGGGCAATCTGCGTTTTCTTGTAAAAAAAAAAAAAAGATTCATAAGACAAAATACATAGATAAAAGTCATACATTTTAGTCGACACACACACATACACACACTATAGCACACTCCAAGGCCGTTCTTTCTCCTACAGTAAGATCCACCATGTGACGGCCTAAAATAGGACACAGAGAGAGAGAAAGCCTCCTCCGCTTTCTGAGTTGTTGGTCAACAGTTGGGTTGGGGGGCCGGCCG